TATGTTGCATGCTGTAGAACTAAATAGAATATAAGCATTCCTTCAACGGAACGAAAGATAAATTGGCTCATGTAAGACAGAATAATATTTAATACGCACTACACAACCTTTACTACTGTCGTCATTAAAAAGCTGAAAATTTGTTTTTCAAATGAATTCCATTAAACTTGGAGTGAGGGTGTGGGTTAAATAAATGTGCTTATTAACAATATGGTAAAATATAAATAGAAGAACAAATATATGAGTAAATAAATAAATAAGTAGATGAAAATATAAATAAATTATGCTTTTTCTTTTAATTCTAGTGCTTGGAAAGTGTTTCAGAGCTTTTTGTATGTTTTTTAAACAAAAAAATTCTAAAATAATGTACCCTTTTTAGAAATATTTGAATAAGAAAATGTGCTACTGTATTTTTAAGAATATTAAATGAATAAATGCAAATAATAAATTTATGAATAAATAAATAATTTTGTTTAAATTTGCGCGAGAAAATAAATAAATATTTGAATTAATAAATAAATGATTAAATAGTGAATTTGAGATGAAAAATGAGCCTTTTGGAATGAGGGTGTGGGTGTTAGTGATGAGGAGACCCACACCCACACCCACTCTATATATCATTGTACAGGGTGTGAGCGTGTGGTTGTTTGTGGGTGAAAAAGCTCATCACATCCACACTTTTCTTCAATAATAATCCATAGTATGCTTTACGACAATACATTTTGTTTCGTTTGAAACTTTCGTCTTTACTAAAATACATACTACCGTGCAGCAAAAGATCCGATCAATCATACGCCATGCATAACAGTCTGATCTTCGTCGAATAATTAATGTGATTTCGCTAATAATACAGTAGTGTCAAACTTGAAACTTGAATTCAATTGAAAATTGAAATTTTCAACTTTCAACTTTCGATTGATAGCAATATATGTGTGAGTCACGATTCTTCAGAAGGCGATTGGTTTAAAAGTTGAAAGTTGAAAATTTCAATTTTCAATTGAATTCAAGTCTCAAGTTTGACATATATGGAATAATAAAGCCTTTTATTCAGAATGAGAGATATTTAAGTCCGACGAAGCAAGAAGCAAGAAGAAAAAGAAATTCAGCACTTTCTTCTATCTTTTCCAACGACGTAATATGATGCACCGAACGAAACGGTCGATAGCACAAAGAAAGAAGCAATCAGCTACTTTGATTTCTTTTCTCTTAAATAACTGTGTTACATTATTTATTAAAAGCGAAGATGGAAAAGACAATGCTGACGATTATAAATTTCACTTTTTTGTTAAATCTGTAAAAATTAAATGAAAGCAAGTGAATTTAAAAGCGATTGGAAGTAGACACAGCGTAAGAGATAAACCAGCAAAGGATAGAAAAGACTTGCGACAGCATGACGTATGTTTGATCGACATAGAAAAAAAGATAACACCTTATTAGCTAAAGAAATTTCACCTTGAATAAAGTTATACATACGAAAAAAGAGAAACGATCACATTGAAATGCTTTTATTCAATTGAAATGTTATGTGGATTCATATTTTCCGGTTGGGAGATGTCATCATATTTTGTATATAAAGTGTAGTTAATTGAAATCAGCATTTGTGTATCAGTGTTTCACTGAACACCGATATCAGTGTCGTCAGTGGTCAGTAAAGACATGTGCCTCAGTCAGTAGCAGTGCATGAGTATTTTCGGTGTCAGTTTAGACCGAATGACAGTGTTGTCAGTGCTCGGTGTATCGGTGCCGTCAATATCAGTATTTACACTGAAACTGCACATCCATATTCTCAGTCATCTCATATCAATATCATGTTTTTTTTGCACAGACACTGACCAGACTGAACCTCGACAAGTTTGCAATGAGTTGGACATGTAGAAGTCTCATAAATGAGCTGATCGAAAGGAACAAGAAAGCTGTATTTTCTCAAGCATTAGTTTGATGATGGAGGTTGTGACTTAGAGCGCCGAAGTGTTTGAATAATAGTATGGAGTGTTTGAGGGTAGTTTGTTTGTGTATCGATCGGTTTTCGGAATATGAGGTTTGGATTCTAGCACAGAATGATGTATAAAATCGGGTTATTGAAAAGAGTTTATGGCGTGAAATACGCGCCATGTTAGATTGCGTTTTTGATGTGCATGGGAGTCTTTGTCGTTGATGTAATATGGCACTGATTTGGGAGTGAATGCAATAGTTACAATTCATGTTTGTGATGTTTTGATAACATTCAGTATTTTTAGGTGTTTGTCTGCGTGCCATATGCGAGAGTAACCATCTGAAGATTTAGAGAGAACTTTGGTTCATACGAATTTATTAGTAGAATCATATATGCACGTGAAAGGTTTGTTTTTGCCAAAACGTTTGGTGTGGATATAGTACCCATGTAAAAAAAATAAGGGTAAAATCAGATTAAAATCGATTATAATCGGAGAAAACAGTTATTCCGCTGTACTAATCGATTAAAATGTAAAAGTACTTTCTCTAGAATTCATCAGTATTCTCTAAATTACATTATTCAGAGTTTCTACTTTCGCGACAGAATATACTTCTACTTCCTTATTTTCTGCTAAACGAACTGGTAATACTCGTCTCCGAGAAAAAGGAAGAAGTCAATGAAAACAATCGCTATCAAAACATAACCCAGGAATGTGGAGGCTTTGTGCAATCAATTATTTTTATGAGAAGTACTGTAAAGAGTGTTACAGTTTTTTCTTTGAAAGGGGTTTGATGCTTCTGGCTATCGTGTATTACATCCGATTTTCGAGATAATTGAATCGTTGTTCTAGATTCAAATCAGATCATAAATGTTGAAATCACATTTTCCATCTGCATAAAGAAATCGAGCTCAGCATCTAAGTTTTTGTCTTGTTCTTACATGTATCGAGTCTAAATAGGTTGCTCCATCATTTTTGAATAACAAAGGTGATAGTTATTGATGTAAGATTGTCAGTGTATGCCGTTTATTACCAAGTACTGAAGTGATGATCTATCCTTCTAAATTTTCCAGATATCATATTTTTAAGATTGAAACAGTAGTTTAGTTTACCTTGCTGAAATGCATAGTCTTTAAATTGCCATGATGACTTTAAATTTAACTTCCATAACGCAACATAATCATAAAAAAACGTTGCAAATGATTTTTTTCAAACGTTATCTTAGTAATTACAAAAAAATCAATAAAGAAGTGACTTCTGATCGTGGAAGTTCTCAAAATATGTTTTTTCAGTCTAAAATCAGTTTATTTCGATTTTCGTAAACTACTCTGTTGAAAAAATTGAATGGTTCCTAATTGGGTTTTCAACCGAATTATTTTAACCTGGATAAAATTGAACTCGGTATAATGCATTCGAAATCAAAATTGGCTCTAGTATATTATTAGGAGGAGGATGTTATTTTAATCGAATCTAATCTCAAGGATAGCTAGATTTTCATCAATTTCTTATGGTTCGAAACAATTATAATCAAGAATATGTTGATTTTTTGTGTAAATGTTTTCACATCGGTTCTCTATCCAATGCTAGATTCGAATATCATACATTTAAAGTCTTTGTAGTTTGACACAAATAGTAGAAAGTATTGCAGTTGTACTATGTTTATGCTTTCCAAATCGCTTCGAATTTGTGCGACAGTGTTGGTATCGACAACGCAAAAGATCAGTCGCCTATTTTCAATATAACGAGCACAGGAGTGAGAACGAAATGAATATCAGAGAATTTTTGTCAACAATATTTTTTTCTCTTTTGTAATGAAAAACCTTGTAACAATAATATCAACAGTTTAAAATCTCGTGGATGTAATATTCTTTATCGCCACTATTGTAACATAATGATATTTACAAAAACATCAAATTTTGCTCACTCTATATTTCTTGCCACGCGGCGTCGAAGAAAAACATGATATGCAACTTCGTGACGTGTCGAAGAGTGAAAGCAAATAATGATACGCTTCTCTGTCATTAAAAAAAGATATAGCAAAGGTAAAATCATTTGATTGACTGGAACCGACTATTTACTGGTAAGGAAAAATTAGTCTTTTAATGCATTTTATCACTAAAAGAGAAATAACGTTATATCAGTTCGACAGCGCATTATGAACGGTATGCATTAATAGTTTATTATAGATTTGTAGGAACCAATCAAGGATTTGCAGAAATCCAGTAAGGACTTTCGTGCATCCACAGAGAGACGATTGGCTAGAAAAATGCATTCCTATTTACTTAATCTTTCCTTTACACTTTTACCTATATTCTTATATCCTTCTATATTACATTCTAATACTACAAATTTCGTTACTCATATACTTATACTGCTATCATTACACAGATAATGTTAGACCTTGATGATGTGGATGTCGGTGCCAATGTGGAAGTGAAAAAGATGACTGCCCACAGTCGCACCCTCAGTATATTCTTCTTCTTTCTTATTTGCGTCTTGCATTTGACATTGCTCTTTCAAGATCATATTTATGCCACGTTTTATTTCGTCGATCAGAAAAAAATAAAAATAAAAGTGTTGGATGGGAGTTTCTGCTATGTTCTGATTCACCTACACCCTCAAGTAACCTTGAAATCGAAATAAGTATTTATTATTTGTTGCAACATCAAAGAAGCACTTTATGATATTGGCATTGCAGGAAGGATTTTTTCGGTGTAAAGAGATGCAACATTCTGTTTCAATTTCTTTCTAGTTATTTCACCATCACCATGTGATTGACTCACAAAGTCACAAAGCCACAAAGCATATTTTTCTTAGTGAATATGTACAGATATCTCATCTGTATAGCTTTCGTAGCAATACTGGCAACATGTCTCTCGAGAATTCGTTGATGGCAAGCTTACATAGCTATTACTTCCACATCTCTTTGGAATAGATAAAATGAGTAATCAGTTTTCTAAACAGAAGTAAATCAAAGGTCCTTTGAAGATATGAGTGTCGCAAAAACTCGTATGCAAAAAATTTCTAAACTAATTAATTTTCTCTGTGTTTTACATTTTAGTTCGACAGATGATGGAATCTAGAACGATTATTGTGCGTTTTAGACACACTGGTGAACATTTTTATGTTCCAGTGTTATCAACGACTACGATCAAAGATATTATTAAATATGTATGCGAAAAAAGTATAATTCAAGGGGAAATCGATTACAATGATTATTATCTCGTTTTGTTAAACAAGGAAGATGTGTTGGATGATGACAAAACATTTGAAGAAATTACATCACATGGAATTGAAAATCCCGACTATCAAGTGTGCATGAAAACATCGAAACTTGGGGAAATTGTGGATCTTTTTCGAACATTTCTCCTCACAGTTCCACCAAGAAGAATCGTTCAGCCACAAATACTACCTGATGATACGGAGTCTAGCGCAGAAACAGAAAATAATAAGAATGTAAGTAACAAACTATATCTTTAGATCTGATGAATAAAACGAAGCTCGCTTTTCTGCTTCAAGTTGATGTCATCTATCGCCGAAGAAGGTATCACAAATCAACCAATTAACGATTTATCTCTATCGCAAGTCGATATAGAAATAAACGCAAACGCAAAAACACCTTCAAACATTTCTGTTCTACTACAAAATAATGCCACCGGCGAGGTATCACAAAGAGATGCTATAGTTAATACTGAATCGAAAAACTTTTGTGGTCTTCCTTCAAACAAAGATGAAGATTCAAAAGCCACCACTTCTACAAGCTCAGAATCAAACATAAACAATCCGTATTCGATGGTGTCCTCGTGTGTTCAACCTAAACAAGAAGAATCAACGTTTTCGACAGCCCAAGCCGAATCAAGTAGTGACGCTTCATCTTCAACTCGTCCAGAAAAATTAGCTAACACTTATCAACATTTTACAACGAAGGTTAGTGAAATTGGTGCAAAAAAGACTCGCGATCCTATGCCAATTCACACTATTATTGAAACATTCAATCAGATAAATATTCTAATATGCGGCGCATCACGAGTTGGGAAGAGTACTCTTATCAATGCCATATGTGAAAAACAATTAGCAAAGACAAGTGCTAGACTTCATGCCTGTACGGACAAAATCTCTCCCTATTTCCTTAAGGGTACGGTTGAAATTGACTCTGGAACGATAAACTATCAATATCATTTTTGGGACACTCCGGGCATTGAAACATGGAGTTCAGAAGAGATTCGTAAAACCTTAGAAGGTATCAAGCAAAAACCGAAATCCGATATACTATGTATGCTCTATTGTGCATCACCCGGTTCGTACGCAAAACTTGAACAAGTAGACCGGTTAGTACAAGAATGTATGGATCAACATATATTTTGCGCACTTGTATGTACAAACAAATGCTCAGGAAGTGACAAACAATTCAAGGGTGTAATGGGCGATTTTGAACAGTTACTGAAGAAACATCACGACAAATCCCGAGAAGAAAATGGTGTTATGTTTTTTGGAAATATGGGATTGTGCACAGCAGTTAATAGCGAAAGATTTGTGAATTCACGCCAAAACGCAATAACTGAGCCATCGGGTATTGACGAACTTATTTTAGGCATTATGGAATCACTTGATGATGAAAAATTAGTGCAGTGGTGTATGCTAGCGCTTAAGAACAAAAATTTCTGGAAAAATTTGTCTAATTATCCGATAACGTTGAAAACAGCTTGGAACAAACTACTTCATAAAAAATAAGTTAAAAAAAATGAATCATATGTATTCGTTTGGAAAAATATATATAAATCCTTATAGGGCTTTATTCAGGATGTGAGTGTGGTTGAACGAAAGACCGGTACTCTCACCCATCATGAGAGACGGCTTCGACGGACGATCGAAGATCATGTACATGTAACATCTGATGAGATGTGTACTAGGCATTTCCTTATTGAAGTTCTCAACTATAAAATATGCCATGATAGAGAACGATGCATAAGAAAGGCTATATTTTCTGCTGTAATTTAAATTAAAATATATGGCTAGCACTGTTTCATGTACACAGTTTTGTAGAGCTCAGGGAGATCTATCTAACCGTGTAATTATAAATGACTGGAAAATAAAACGTGCTCGAGTTTTAAATTATCACAATTTTGCCTACTCTAGCAAAAACTCCTTGAGCTTCTCCAGACTCTCGACCTCAAAGAGTCTGATACTTCATGTCATATTTTGTAAAACTACATAAAAAATACAACGACAAACAAGCCATTGAGGTACATTAAGCGGCAGGATGTATTCTGCTGTTTTGGCGGTAAGTATTAATTTGGAACCACAGTCGAACAATACATGGAGCAAGAAATCCGAAACCAAGAGTAAGTCCACCACAAAGAGCTAAAATTCTTGAAATAATAACTAGAAAATTGCTGTGTTTTTCAAATGTATAGGAACAATAGTTTGGAGCACATTGTTTATAGAATTCCACGTAAGAGATCTCAGTTACCCCTTCTTGAAAAAATAGCATGTGCTCGAACTAATGTCTGACTGCTATGATTATGTAATGGCCAATACCAATTCAATAAATAATTGGATATTAATGTATTTCCATGTGAAATACCTTGGATAAGTCCTAGAATGCGATTTAATCGACCAGATCTGATCCCCTTCATTTGATACAGGGGTACGAGCATCAATTGAACACCTATGCATTTTTCTGATGGAAACCACAGAATATCATTATGTTTGGTCGTCTGTACAAGAGTGCACAATGTTGATAGAAAATTGAAATATGCCGATAGAATCATACGGAAATGAGAACTTTCGTACATTAATGAAACGTAATATTTATTTTTATAAATTGACTGTAGCTTATCGATATATCGAAAGATGGGCATCGCCACGTAGAATCATTTGATTGCAACAATTTTTCGTATAATAAATTATACGTTCTAATTTCATGTCGAATAGTATTCCAAACATTGCAGAGACGTAGATGATATCGGTGGTGCTCTAAAATAAATTCTTCGAATGATTAGTAAATCAATTATTTTGAGAATATCCCTGAAGGCTTTCCATTACTTACGAGTATGTGTGTTTGGTGTGTTCGGGAACAATGTACTAGCTCCATGCGGTGCAGTCTTACATCGAAATAAGAATCGAACAACAATCAAACAAACTATTCGAAGGATAACATCGAGACCACCAAAAAGGTATGCATAGAATTGGTCGAAAGAAAAAACGTCGAAAGTAAAAAATGTCGAAAGTGCTATAAATCGAGTTTGAGCATACGCTCTGCATTTAAAGTACAACGATGGATACTCCGACAGATTGTTCATATAGGATTGTTGAAAAACTGGGTTTAAACTCTATCTATAGCATTTTCGACGTTTTTTCTTTCGGCCAATTTTATACCATTCTAGCTTTCGCATATTTGATGTTGTTGTAATGTGACTTGAACGAATGATTCATAAGGATTCGAAATCATAGTACAAGGATATCGTATTGTGAGTATAATGCTTCATATTTCTTTTCTGATGGATAATACATAGTTACGGTTGTTCAATACGATGCGTTCATAGTAAATACAGTTATAAAAGTCATAGTAGTGGTTAAGAATGTAACATAAAGCCATGTCGATATACGTCCACGAAGAATATCAAATGGATTATCTGAATAACTGTCGGACAAATTGAGCTCAATTATAAATACTGTCAGTCTATGAAACCACTACCAAAGAAAAGTATGAATTTCGACATCTAGAAAAAATGAAAACATTATTGGAATTCAGTACAGATCCGAAACTTGAGGGTGTCGGTGTCGTTCTCGGCTTTTCCTAAAACTGTAATAGAAATTGAACCACATGTAATAATGCATTCCATTGAAATATTGCATGTCTTTTGACTTCTACTCTAATATTATCAGATATGTTTGAAGACTTGCTTTCATCCTGTTGAGATCGACCTCGTCGGAATATTCTTTCCTTCACGAACAATAGCAAATCGATTAAAAGATCGAATTAAATCGACGCGCACGATTATAACTGGCTTGGATATGAAAATTTCCAGCAAATAATTCATGAACGATTGATTCGATACTTGTCGTTAATGGAAATCGACTTGGTAAAGATTGATTGAGTATTTCAACATCGAACATAGTTGAATGGGTCAAAAGTAGCGTATCGAGACATGACTGATTGTAGAAACATTTCAACGATGAAGCAAATCCCGTTTGAAGTGGTAAACAATCAACAGCAAGGCCAGGAAATGTTTCATTCGGGACTAGAGTAGTCAGATCGAAAAACCCATCAGTTTCCCATACATCGTATAAATAGATACCACCCGGTAATAAAAAAAAGAGTTCGATGCTGTTGAGGGTGTGGGTGAGAATGCACTTCTACCCACACCCACACCAGAATGCTATTGATTCAATCAGTAATACGAATATTACAATGGAAAAAATGTAACAAATTAGACAGTGCAATATCTACACATTAGTATGATATGAACCATAAAAATTATACAAGCGTATCAACCATCATTAAACCGTACAACACACTCTGCACCACTATATATTTTTCCAGAAGGAGTAAAAGAAAAGTACTTACGAGCAATAAAAAGATATAAATGATATGAATCGGTTCTATATCTATAATTTTCTATCTTCTTTTCCTCTTTCCTGTTTGTTTCACTAGTTTATGTACACGTATTTCATTTCATTTTTGTTTCTTTCTCTCTCTCTCTCTCTCTCTCTCTAATGACCGTTTAACTGGTCGAAACGTCGAAATAAAAAAACTTTATATAGATAAATATAATTTTAATAAAAATTTTTAACATTTTATTGAATGATAATTATTTTTAAAAACGCCACTGTCGTATATTTATCTTTGATTGCGAGTGAATATGTTTGCACGGACATGCTCATTTATTATTCAAAAGAAAATACAAACAAAAAAGGCAAACGAGTATAGTTACAAGAAATAAAGCCACTGAGTCTGTTGATTTGTGATAGCAGATAAAAAAATTTTATCAAGTCAATTCTTACTAGTATAAGTTGATCACAATAAAGTGAATACACGTTTCTTCTTACAGTTTTTCTTCTTGTTTTTCAAAAGCAATCTTTAATTTCTCTAAATATTCATCAGAAATATTTTCTATTACAATTGACTCCGTCGCACCATACACAAATGCATTATTATCACCTATCGTCACAGCAACACTTTGTAAAAGGGCAGTTAGGAATGTGAGCGGAAGCCAAACCTCGTTTCTCGATACAAAATATGATCTTGCACAAAGACCTGCTGGTATTTCTTTTAAATCAGATTTCTCATTTACTACCCACGATTCTAGTATTTTAATATACTTATCATTAAGCATTTCTAGACTCAAAACATCGTGCAGACATGGCTTAAGAGCTTGAATCGCATTTTCACCTACAGCTTTCTTACTAAATGCTCGCAACAAGGTATATATTACTTTATTATTGTTCCCTGCCTTACCAATCGCTCCAAGAGCATAACACGCTGCCTCACGCACATTGTACCGTTGATCCTTAAGTGTTTTACACAAGGCAGAGACTACGCAATTATTGTCTCCAGCCTTCCCGATTGCTTTAAGGGTGTCGCACGCTATCTGTCTCACATCGTGACTCTCATACGTGAGTGCTTTCAACAAACCGTCGATTATCTGATTGTTATCCCTTGTCTTGCCAATGACTCCAAGAGCATCACACGCTATCTTACTCATGTCCCAATTACCAACTATAAGTATTTCAAGCAAGACATCAATTATTTGATAGTTATCTACTATCTTACCGATCCCTCCAAGAGCGTCGCATGCACACTCTCTAACACCATCGTACGTATCATTAAGTGCTTCGAATAAGGCATTGATCACTCTATTATGAGCTGCTGTCTTACCAATCTCTCCCAGAATTTTGCAAGCGCTCACTCTCACATCTTTATAATCATCATGCAGTGCTTCTAGTAAAGCATCGATTACCTTATTATTATCCTCTATCCTACCAGCCGCTTCAAGAGCTCGACACGCATTGGTTCTCACCCAAACGTCTTCATCCTTAAGTGCTTGTAATAAGGCATCGATTACCTTACTGCTATATCTTATCATATCAATCTCTCCAAGAAGTTCGCAAGCACTCCTTCTCACTGTACTTTCACCATTCTTAACTGCTTCCACTAAAGCATCGATTACCTTATTGTTATATTCACTGTTACCCATCTCTTCGATAATTTTGTATGCACTCCTTTTTGGTTTATTGAGATTTTTCTTAACTACCTTTAATAAGGGAACGAATATCTTATCCCTATTTTCTGTACTAACTATTACTCTAATTACTTCACATGCACTCTCTTTCACATCTTCAGTAATATCCTCAAGCGCTTCTAATAAAGCGTCGATTACAGTATGGCCATCTTCTATCTTTACCATTGCTCCAAGAGCTTTGCATGCTCTCTCTCGAACTTGGCTGCTACCATCCTTAAGTGTTTCTAATAAAGCATCGATTATCTTACTATTGTCTTCGGTCTTACCAATCGCTCCAAGAGCGTCGCATGCACTCATTCTCACCCAAGAGTCTCTATCATTAAGTGCTTCTAATAAACCATTGATTATCCTACTATTAGCTTCTGTCTTACCAATCACTCCGAGAGCTCTGCATGCACATCCTTTGATCCTATAGTCACCATCCGTAATTGTCTTTAATAAGGCATCGATTACGTTATGGTTATCTTCTGCCGTAGCAATCACTTTAAGTGCTGCGCATGCACTCACTTTCACATCCTCATCATCATTGGCCTTAAGTGCTTCCAATAAAGCATCAATTAACTTTTCATTATGTTCTGTCTTACCAATCGCTAGAAGAAATTCGCATGCGATCTCTCTCAAAAGCTCCCAACTATCACGAAGTGTTTCTAACAAGGCATCAATTATCTTATTGTTATATCCTGATTTGCCAATTGCTCTAAAAGCTCGGTATCCAATTGCTCTCACGTCAACGTCATCATCCTCAGGTTCTTCTGATAAGGCATCGGTTACTTTAAGGGTGTATTTCCTATTACGGGTCGATCTAACAGCTCGCCGTGCCATATTCGTTATTTTCGGCTTTTCTTTCTGTAGTTCTTTTAATAAGGCATCAATTACTTTATTGTTATCTCCTGTATTACTAATGATTCCAAGACTTACGCATGCCCTCAATCTTACACTCTGATCTTTATTCTTAAGTTTTTTTAATAAGGCATCGGTTACCTTATTATTGTCTCCTGTCTTACCAATTGCTCCGAGACTTTCGCATGCCCTCATTACCACTGTAGTGTCATCATCATTTAGTGCCTCTAACCAGACATCGACCACCTGATTGTATTGTTGCTTCGGACTGATCGCTCTTAGAGCCATGCATGCCCTACGCTTGATGTCTGAGCTGTCAGTAAAATATGTGGATTTTAGGAGCTGTCGTATTGTTTCTACGATTCGGTTTTCATTAGACAGCGTTATCGTACGCATTAGAGAATCGCAGAGATGACGCATTACAACATCATAATTAAGTTTCGCTGCTCGGTTTATCCAAGTAGCAATGGAGTTCAGACAACCAGTGCGTATTTTTGAGTATGCTGTACCGTTCATTTCATCGAAACCTTCAATCAACAGTTTAACGTGTCGCAATCCAACTATATCTTTTGCATTATGTTCTATGTTATTCCAGTATTTTTCGATAAGATCAGGTTTATTTTGATGGCGAAGAAGACCGAATGCAAAAATGAACACTAAAGTAAAACGTTGGTTGTATTTGTTTCGTTGAATAAAACGACGTGCAGTTTCGATCTCACATGCAAGAGCACGAACGAGATACCGTGCCGCAAAGAATTCTTGAACGCTAAGATGAATGAAGTATTGTAGTTTTTCTGTCTCTGCTCGTTTGCCATCAAATTTATCATCGTAAGATTTGAGAACGCCAATCTTCAAAGACTCTTCATGTATAGTTTCGGAACATTTCGTTTCTTCAATTATTCGTGTTAGCAGCTTTGGCACCAAAATACTTTTATTGTCTTCTAATGCATGAAAAGCCACGTTTTCTAAGAATTGTAGATGTGCAGAACATTCTTCATGAATTTTTCTTTCACTTATTGGTGGTTTACACTTATGCTTTCGTTGCACGTATTTTCGACAGAGTTCATTGATCATCTCACTGTAAAGATCAGTCACGGTCAATGTTTTGTTTTCCAACACACCATCGTTCCAAGTAGTACAAATGAGATAGAGATTCATTGGAATATGTGCGATACCCCAAATAGTGGGATTCGATTTCAAATAGTTAATAAGTGAGTCAGAATTTGATTGGATACCCGTTTGTGTAGTTACATTTGCTTTGAAGTACTGTTTCACGAACTCGACGATATTATCATCGGAGAATCCTATTATTTCGATGGCCATCTCATATTTTAAATCAATCGTGTAGGGCCGCGATGTTAATATATGATGATGTTGATTGATTATATCATTGAATGGTCCTTCCAATGATACTGGCCTGTTTTCCTGAAATTCATCATAACCGTCTAGTATCCAAAGTATTTGACCTTGCTCGCACTGGTCTTTGAATTTTAGCTTAACTTCATCCGTAGGTTTGACATCAAGTCGATATTCGTCTTCTACAATATCAAGAACACTGTATCTGTTGGAATCTGGATACCTTTCTTTAGTTAATTTTCGTAACTGAATTAGAATAACAACTGCATATTCTGACCAAAGCTGTCCTTTAGCCCATTGTTGGATTACATGTTTGCAAAATGTTGATTTTCCAACTCCGGCTCGTCCAAGTAAGATTGCTGTTTTTCGTGAATTCTTGCAGTTTTTGAAAATGTCGTTCACTTCAATCACTGTCTTCGCGCCATAGATCTCTTGGTACGTGCCACGTAGCTCCTCAATATCCTTTGTCATTTTGAGTTTCCTCTCTTTCGCGCGTTGTTCTTTATTCTCTACGATGGCTAAGCTGATGTAACATTCGTCAGCTGATGAGTTCAACGTATCTTTATTTCTATTGGCAAACTCTGGATCACTTTGGTATTTCTTTTTGATATGTCGCGCCATCTGTGGTAATTCAAAGATTGATTGTACTTTAGAAGAACCCTAGAAAAATGAAACTCTGCTTATCTTAATATTATGAGAACCACCACGCTTATTATGTTCGCGAAATATCTACGAATTAACTTTTCATATATGTATAGGTCTATGACATAACTAGATAATTCGAACTATCTAGTTATACTTTAAACTGTTCACAAACGCTATCAATAAAGACTATAGGCTACTACTCGTGCTATGACGATTTTATGTACAACCAGTTGTCTAAAATTCTGCAGTAGAGCGCATTTTTTTATCAAGCAATTTGCTATGCTATCGTCCAATGTATATTTTGAACCTGAGGGTGGTGTGTGGGTGTGGGTTTCAGTCTTCTTTTCACACTCACACCCACAAACTTTGAAAGTATGTGCCGAAAATTTATCCAAAAATAAAAGGGTGTGACAGCGATTATGATTCATTTATGCTCAAGAGAGAAACGCAAGAAACGACGTTTTTTCTTTTGTTTTATTTTCATTTTCAGAGCTTGAAAATGATGAAAAACTCCTTTTTTTTAGTGTTAAAAGGTACTTTTATTGTGGATTTTAAATACAATCTTTCTATATGTCACTGATTATAGTCTCGATTAATTCCCTAGAGTAGTCATTAGCTGTCTCAAAATACGCACTTCAGTGACTGATAGCGTATTTCCGTGTAAATTAAATAAAATTTGGTTTTGAGTCATCTGTCTACTGAATTAACCTCACCTTCGACTTTTGTTTAAGCGAAGAACGATTCATAGTTGGATTAAACTATGATGCTCTATTGAATCTTGAACAAAAACATATAATTCTTTTAAACATTTTTAATTTTGAAAAAAAATGTGTGGTTTGGTTCTTACGTTCTTAGAAGTAGAAGCTTTTCAACTCAATAATTAGTCTAGCAATAATCAGGTTGTTCCACTAATAGTTTTTTTTCTGAGAATAATCATATTGGTCTTTATATCAAGTCTGAATGTTTATTTACCGTATTTTCTGCAATTTGTTTCAAATGATCGATCTGTTCATTTGCGTTATTTTCCAGGTTTTCCAAATGTTTTGTTTGTTTATTCGAGTTCTCCAGTTCTCTATAGTCGATTATGTGCTGCAAGAATCCATCAAAATCACTCAGTGCATCATCGAATCTTTTAACTATAGAGCCTATATTTTCACTTTGGCCTGCGCTACACAGAAAAGCTTTCCAGCATTGTTTGTTCCGAACGCTAATCCAACTCTGAAAGTCTTTCAAGGACTGTTCGACACGGTTTTGTTTACTTGTCCAGCTGTTTTTCTGTTCTTCGTCAAGGTTCATTATCTCACTTTTTGCCAGCCTATTTTGAAAGCCTTCTAAGGTCTTTAATTTATCTGTGAGATGATCGATGAGATATTTGCAGTCTTCATCATTTTTTTTCTTCTGTTCATAAAGTTGTTGCGCATTTTGAATTACTCTCACGAGTATTGTGACTACAGATGATGGGTCTATCATTGTAAGGCAAAATCTGGAAATGAAAGAATATGAACGTTCCATAAGGTGACGCAATAAAAAAAAAACTACAATATCCGATATCAGAATGATGTAGCAAATCAGTTGTTCCATGAGAAAATTTCATTCCGTTAGCTGTGCATTATTAGATGATTTTTCAACGAAAGAGTTTTATTTCGTAGTAAAAAGTAGATAAGAAATACGAAGGGTATCCATTTGTAACAAAAAACTGCACTAATGAAAGAAAACATTGTTCTTTACATGAATATGAAACATGTTGAATGTACAAATTATAAAATGCATAGCCGTCAAAAAAGAAAACAAGCACTACAATACTAATCAGTGATGTTTAAGTAAACAAAAAGTAATTCACAGTTGAATAGATAGCGCTACTATTCTATTGTAAAGTATGGCGCAGCAAATCAACTTCTTCACATTGGATATATATACATTGACAAAGTTTTATACTGAACTTCGGTAGGATGTTCTATAGGTAGATGTCTATCCTGGTAGAGGGACTCGTTTTAATTAGAGAGTATGTAATTTACATCACATAACATTGTAGAAATAATCTATAAGTGTGAAATGCATGGGCTAAGCAAAATTTCGATTTATGTGTAGTAGTGACAGGTTTAGAGTTAAAAAGGATGCTAAATTTAAGTATATGAGCATCGACTCAGATGAAAATGCTGGAAAATGATATTATATTTGTATGATGAATTTTTATGAAAACAATATTTTGAACTACTCCGTTTCTTCCCTAATTGCATTTTCTTTTAGTTTTATTCGTATTTAATCTTAATCTACATCGACTTTCATTCAAAGAGCTTATATCGTAAAGAAATAAACATTTACCGAAGAGCTATAGCGCTTTGTATTTTTTAATATTTCGGAAACTTAGCAAAAAAATACCTTTTCTCCTACATAAATGAACTCAATACTCACATGACCACTCATGAGTGTGAACTGTACACTCGCAATTCGAAGTCGTAGGTCTGACATGTTGATTTGAATAAAGAAAAAAAAATTCTCTGTGTAAGTAACATCAAATGAATGATTATTTTTGATAGGCTTTACAGACATCAAGAGAATAATGCTGAAACCCTCTTTCTGCTTTTCCAAAAGTGCATATACTTGGCTTATTAACTATTTAAACGAGTGTTTCTTGTCAAACGATGAAAATGAAAGATTGTTACGACGCACAAAAAAGGCAGAAATTATTTTTCTGTCTCTCACCCCCAACGTAAAAACTTTTTTTTCTCATACGAAAGAGTAACTTGCCATCTTCTGAATTTCTTTTCTTCATTGAGTTGTCAAGAGTACATTTTTTCAACATTTCATCAGTCGTCAAGCATCACATCAAAATATTACTATGAAAACAAATACCTATTCGTTAACACAACGTGTTTCAACTTAAAAAAAACCGTATTATATATTATGCAGAATATATTTCGCCAATGCTTCATATCGACTATCGAAATTTTAAAAGAAAAATCTCAAAACTTGTCTTAGCTTTTGTTGCCGCCTGTCTAAACGTTAAAATTGTTCGTTAGCAGTGTGATGGTTTTTGATTGAAGAAACATTTGTATTTTTACGGATGGTAGTACACTTAATTCGGTGTGGGTGTGGGTGAGAATGCACTTTTACCGACACTTACTCACCCACACCCACACCCACACCCTCAAGATAATACAGATGTTCTTTATTCATTGTTTGATATTAATAGTAATCAACGGCTTGGCAGCATATTATAAAAAAGTACTTTGACTAATACTCTCAATTTTGTATTAACAACATTAACTAATCATATTTTATTGATTTTTGACCTTCAGCTGGATCGATTCTGCAAGAATATATTACCGAAATATTCATTATAATGTTGAATCTCTTTATTTTTAATTAATTATCTATAGAACATATTCTTCTTGCTGGTGATTATCCGAATATAACTGAACTTAAAATCTTCAATTTTAATAAAAAAAAATGTTCCAATAGATAGACAAGATAATCTTTTTTTTCATTTTGTGGGAAAACTATGTAGACATATTTTTCAACGGCAAATTATAGATTTTATTCCTGCATTTGAAAAGGATCATAATGAAGAATCATTATTGGAGAATCATATCCTAAATATTTTCCATCTTTCGTACTGCATAACTTACCTTTAACTACTTGCTACGCTTCAACTCTTTGCAAATTATGTGTTCATGTAAAGAATTATGATAATTTACTTGATGATCGTGTTAAACGATTAACTGCATTAAATATTGCTGTTGTTAGCGATAGGCACAAATATCGTTTACGCTATAGTAAGTTTAAACTTTCTGAGATTTTACTAAGCAGCTTATGTTCATTTGAGCGAAATATTATTAAATAGTTGTAAAACGAGTGTTTGTCCGTACCTGACAGAAATAAATCGAATAATTTTGTTTAATTGAAACAAAGAAAAGCAAATTTTTACTAATGAGACTAAAAACATTAACGTCATACAGTTGAAAGATTGATCTAGTTTGATAAATTGATAGGTGACCAAACTTAGTTTAACTTTTCCTTCAACAGATGGAAAAATACCAGTAGGACGAGTATAAAATTATAAGAAGGATCAAAGACAATCAACAAAATAAAAATTAGGTGTGAATAATAAATGAGAAGAGAAAGATTTTGATGATTTTATATTATAAAAATGGGCACATTTATCGAATGATATGACCATTTTTCTATGCAAATAAAATTTTCTCATATATATGAGTGAATCATATTTTCTTTGTACAATCGATTTTTATAGGTATTTCCACCATAACTCTTGTTCCTGTCGGCCGATTTTCGAAATTCTTTTTTTATTTTAATCCTCTTTCTGCCTCTTAGTACCACAGAAAATTACAGCGCTCTAGCTCATCATCTGACCGAGCTAGAAGCCTTAGAAGTTTTAAAAAAAAAATTTTCGATGAGTCATCGGAGAAAAAAATGAATTTTCTAAGAAAGCAAAGAGGGAAAAATAAAAAGTAAACAATACGTTTTGTGACCCACGAAGCACTCTCACGAAATATATAGCATACGTTTTCCTTTTCTTCTTTATACATATACTTCTGACCACAAAACACTGGTACACAGACTGTAGGGCGAGATTAAAATGAATGTACGGACCTAGAGAGCAGCTGTTTCGGGAAAGCAAACCAATGAAAAGAAAGAGCAAGAGATCTAGTTTCTACTACAGTGGTAAAATTTGACAAAATTTTCCCTAAAATATCTGAAATAAAAGATAAACTACATTTTTCACTCATTTTGTAGGGCGAGATTTTGAAAGTAATTCCCCCTACAAGTCGTGAAGGACTCAGTCGATCTCTGTCAAACTTTCACACAAGATAGAGTACAAAAGTGTCTACACGTGGTATACATTTCAGATCTCGAGCACACATGTAAGTCAGGAAAATTTCCATTTTACAGCAATATGTAGGGCGAGATCTTTTTGAAACGAGTGGGTGTTTGTGTACTAAAGTGACTAGTATTATACATCATTCGGCTCTCTGGGCCACATGCTGTGTGTGTGTGTTCTACTTCATTCATTTCTAGATAATAAAATGACTCACTACGACGGAACTTATCGTCAGAAAATTAAACTTAAACGACTATTATCAAAACAATTTGATAAAGAATATAAACGAAAACGAGCTTTGAAGTACTAAGGCCTAGAACAAGTGTCAAACTCAATGGTGTAGTGCGCGTAAGAAAAGAGAGTAAGAAAAAACTAGTAGCATGTAGACCGAAGTCTCTCGCTCCCCCACTTTTCGCCTTTCTAAAGGATGTTTTACAGTTTCCTGGTGAGATGTGAAGGTATGAAACACTAGGATTTGTACCAGCGGATAGTACTCATCGAGATCTATCAAATGGTGTATTGTATGTATACTTTTAAGCTGATTTTCCGATATTTTCGTTCGATAACGTTGCAGGCGGGAAAAGCCAAAGTTTATGCTAGGATATCTCGGTCTCATGATGTCTGACAGTTGGGAAATTTTTACCCCAGATTCACGGAGGGATGGGGAACAAAATGCACCACTCGAAGTTTTCAAAGCTCACTTTTAATTTTTTTTTACACATTGTACAAAGAAAATACGATTCATTCATATGTATAATAAATCGAAGATTATAAGTTATCTCAGTTTTATTTTGTGAGTAGACGTGTCAGCCGAAGGACTGAACGGCGGCGACGAGCAACAATTTTCCATTTTTGAAGATTTCCAGCGACTCCTTATTTGAATGAGTCATGTCTTCAGCGGCGGCGGCGGCGGCGGTTGAGTTAAAAATTCACTGATGAGAATTAAAATAAAAATATTCGATTCGATCGCATATGAATTGAAGTCAGCGGCGGCGGATGACGCTATCAGAAGTGTTTATCTCTTGCAGCGGCACAACAGCTAAACTTGTTTTTTCGCAGCGGCGGCTCCCCAAAAATTCTTAAAATTATCAGTAATTTGGTGGCTGTGGCGGCTCAGCCGTACGGCTGACACCTCTATTTGTGAGAATTCTTTCATACATAAATATTAATTTATATATTCTAGGATCATCCACCCGATTTAAAATTCTGTCACTTAACATGGCACTATTTAACTGATAAGTTTATATCTTACTATTGACAATCGATCTACATTTATTGATGGTAAACATGTTTATAATGAAATTATTGTTCATATATCACAACTTCGTACATTTAACGTTTGTTCTTTTGTGTCGATGTTCAATTTGACCATTTAGTTCATCATTTATCGCAAGATGATATTCAGCAGACTTTTTTTGGCATTGTATATCAACAAGTGAATTGCATCATCAAATATCGATATGGAACTGTCATTTTTTATGCGTTTTTGTTACCATGCATGTTTGATGTTCTCGATTATTTTGTTAAAACATTTTCAAATACTATTCTTGATCATGTTCGATGATTGATGCAGAGGCGTACCCAGGGGGGGGGTGTCCTTAGGTGCCCGGACACCCCCCTTAGAGTTGGAAGCATGATTCGAAAACCCTTTTGCGATAATGCAAATTAAGCAACACTACGTTTTTTTGGCTGTTACATGTACTGGGCAATATTCAAATGATATACAAATATCATTTGTGATTGTCATTCATTAGTACAATTTTTCTTCTAAAATTAATGCTCGTCTATTCAGCATAATGTTCTCTTTCTCTTTGTAATAATATGAAAAAGATACATATTCCAAGCGATGACCTATATGTTTGTCTCACGTATTCAACAGAAAGAACATTTTATCTCTTCAATGAAGATACATCTTTTTTTCCATTCTGCCGTCCGATCATTAAAGAAGTGTCACTGTGTTGAGTGAAAAATGATGATCGTGGCATATCGTCACGATGACATTCTCTTTATTAATAAATTATGTTTTCAATTAAATGTTACATTGGAAATGTGACATGTACAGCTTCATTTAGCATTTGTTTTAGATGAGCAAACAACAAAGTTTATCAGAGTTTTTTTCTTCCAATAAAAGAAAAAGATCAAATTCACCGATTGATGACAAGAACTTGTTTTAACTTTATTGTGAACAAGTATTTGCTTTTTTTGTATTATTTATTTTTGTATTTTATTCTTTAAATAAAATATGAACATTGATTTATAATTTGTTTTATTTGCCATTTGCTATTACAAATAGCTGAGATAAAGTCTAGTGTCTTAGAATCGTGAAGAGCTGCTTAACTATCAATGCAGCGCATTAGGAAAAAACTTATAGTCTATTAGGTATATTGGGCACCTCCCTTATCAAAATCCTGGGTACGCCACTGGATTGATGGTGGACGATGGAATTCAATTCGAACGTGAATTTTTACATGTTGTTAATTTTACTCCACATTCGCCCGTATCAAATGAATTAGGCTCTAATGATAATGAATTATATTCAACAATCATTACATATCTTTATCTTACTATACTTCATCTTGGATTGGGTGTGGGTGACACACACACACACCTTATAGAAATGGTGTGGTTACAAAACTCTCTCTGTACTTGAAACTATATGAAATACATTTACTGATTGGGTTTTTACTCATATGCAACAACGGTAGTCAGATACGAACAGTAAGCACTGTCGCCAATAAAATTCACTTCAAGAAGCCAAGGTTGCAAGCAAATCGTGAATTTTGTTATCGACGTTCTTTTATGATAGTAATATAATTTATACAGAATATAATCATGGTGATATCTCGTTTCTGCATTCATTCCCGCTTTTTATAATACTCAGTAAACTATGAAATACATTATTGCTCTTCTATTGGTCATTCGTAACTATCATTGAATACTTTTAGTGCTTTTTTTTACATTTCTATTTAATTACTTAGAATGCATCGGTTTCGTTAGTACTTACCAATGCTATTCTTGCAATAGTGTTTCGACACTCGCTTGTGGAGATCCATTCAATGCAAATAGTATACCTTCTACTGAAATAGTAGAAGTAGGCCCAAACGAAGTTTGTGAAGTAAGAGTTTTTAGACAACTAGCTTCATATTCATTATTTTTCTAATAAAAACGGGTAATTTTGGAATTTAGAAATCAAGCGTGGCCGGTCTTGTCACTCGCAACGTGGCAACGACTATCACTTGTATAGCGGGTGTGAACGGATGTAAAAAGGCTAGTCCTCTCGGTATTGACGTTGTTACGTGTTGCTGTAACTCTAATCTTTGCAATGGAGTACCAGCGACTCAACAAAAAACCCTTCTGTTCACAATCCTGTGTGCAATTACGATGCTCGTGTACCACTGGTTTTAATTTGCGAACATTCTCTGCGAATTCCTCTTATCATTTGTTTTGAAACTCTATTGTTTTTTATCACCTACTAAGTTCATTTCTTTGCTAAATATTATAATAGTTAGTGTCCTTTCTCAAATATCTTGTGTTGCACAGAAAACATAGTGAAGGAAAGACGTACTCGTATGCTCAGTGCTAATTCGTATTTCTTGGTTTGTGAAGCAGACACAAGACAAAAGGTTTCTTTTTTTTATCAATAAATAGTCCTCACTTCATATTAAATTATGTATAAACATCGACAAATCTTCCAATCATATCGAATTATGGTACGTATTCTTATGAAAACCATTACCTTTCTAATCTACTCATAGCAATTCTATTCTGCCAGAAATTTCCTCAGTTTTTCGACGTCAGAATCACATAGTGTGTATGCCACTTAGATGAACACAACAAGTTGTATCTGTTGACATTATTTTCAATGAAAAAAACTAACTTCCATAATGTAAATTATTTCGAAAAAGAATAGGCTTGTTAAGAATTCTTAATACTTGCGAATTCATTTGTCAAAATTTATCTCCAAATATACCAGTAGACAATCCATGAAAACTTAGATTAAGTCAAGTGGTGTAAAACAGGGTGTGGGTGTGTGAAAAACTACACAGGTTGTTGCCCCTACAGCCATACCAACACCTTCAAACCATCAAGTCAATTCAACGTGATCAACCTGTTAGCCACTAAGAAGGAGACCATTTATTATTTGATGTTTTATAGATGAATTCCAGTCGCCCGGCTTTTATGTTATTGATTTATCATTGTTTCTCTTCTGTATGATCGTGATTTCTGAAAATATTTTTCAGCAAGTCCCGGTTGCCTTTCATGGAAGCTATTTATTTTAAAATAGAGAAGAAGCGGCACACGGTACCATGTACTGGATTTAGAAATAAGAATAAAACATAGTGAGTACAAATGTCATGGAAAATACAACCTGAAATGGTGACCTAAACTTATAGAAACATGAGTTAAAACAAAAGCATATATGGAAAATTGACTTCTTGAAACAAGATATATTTGTTCATTAAAGGACGTTGGTTTCATCATATTTCCAGTTATAATTTTTGTAATTAAGGCGCTGGATTAACAATAACTAGTGCAACTGGTCCAGCTATTTTATTATCACCTGCTTCATCGCGCTTTTTGATACATTTTTATATTCTATTTACAAGGCAGAGCCATGTAAGAAGAGGAACATGTTCGTGAAGATATTCTGTAATAATAACACAGGCACAAAATGACCCTACCAGAATATAAGTTAGGAAAGGAAGAGTACTCTTGTAAGACATCAAAATCGGAATGGCTGCAACACTTTCAGCAGGTAACACATAAAAAAAGAGGCGCCATACATGCATCCGACATAAATAACTTATGGTTGTGACAACAAAGCCAAGAAGTTATATTATTCCAGCACAACTTCCTAACTCCTCTAGAACGTCCACTACTTTCACATCGTTGTAAATCCATCCAAAACATCTAGCTCCAAAATCACCGATTTTGAGTACCATACTTTCATTACATTTAATAAGGTAACTCATATTTATCGGATTTGAATCCCATGGATTCGCAAAGATAAAGCAATCCATTGTGCTTGTAATTACGACTTTTTGTGGGACAGGACAAGTATCGCCATCGGAAGCAGGTGCATAAGCTAATATCGTTCCTTCGAAAAACGTAATTGCGGCACACCAAGCACATAAAATTAATAGTATATATATATGCCAATTCTATTTAGATTTATTTTAAGACGACCACAGTACCATGATCCAGCATCCATTTTCAAATTCAACTTCTTTTTATTAGGCAATTTCTTTTCTTCTATGTCATCATCAGAAATATCAGAACAATTTCAATCAGAACAGCAATGCTACCATTGCTGTAAACAATGATTCAGTTTCGAACAACAATCGTATGCGCCAGATTTTTTGGTAAAGCAGCTTCCGAAACTTCGCCATACAGTGTTGCATATTCACTATTCCACCGGTTTATAAGGATCTGATTTTCTATTCGGATCTTCTTGATCTAATTTCGGATCATGTTTTTTCAGAGAAAGGAGGATTAGACAAATATCTGATCGGTGACATAAATGCTCGTTTCAAGCGGAAAAATGACGTTCAGGTCAAAAATGCTTGAAAACTAAACTTACGATAAACACATTAAACAAATAAACAGTAACAAAAACTTACCGTTCCCCCGATCACATCACACCACTGTACAAATGAACTTATAGCGGAAAAATGGTTTAGACAAATGAAATATCATTTTTTCTATAGAAGAAAAATTGGTTCATGGGTAATTGAAATGAGCATAGATGTATTCGCTGATAAGTGAAAAATGATTTTGGAAGATATCAAGGATGTTGGGAAACTACACAGTAGGTTAGATTATGGTTCACCTTTTTGTGTACTCAAAAAGTGAGTACCCTCTAGAATCGGTCAGTGTGTCCGTCCGTTCGTAGGCACGATAGCTTTCGAAAGGAGAGTCAGATCGTGATGAAATTTTCCACACAGTTCAATCTCATGAATATCTCGGTCGAGTTCAAAGATGAGAAGGATCCCTCAAGAAATGGTTGAGTTATCGAAAAAATTGTCATTTTTGACCAGACCATCCCTGAGGAGGGGTACAGGGACTTCTTTTCAAAAAACAAATTATTCACAACATATATAAATCGACTCAGTTTTTAACGCTGATTCCGAATCTGATATTAGTCTTGAACTAAATCGTAGCTTTCTAACGAAACATCGCCTGAAAAGCGTCTTAAAATGCACAAAAACTGCATCCAGAAATCAAATTGTCTAGTTTCTCATGATAATTTTGGTGTTCAGATATTCTAGAATGACTCATATGTCCCATGCACTTTTTGCAGTACACATAACTCTCGGATGAAATCCGAAGTTTCCACATGTTTTAAAACAATGATCGGAAAATTTGCATGAAGATAGAATGCCGAAAATGATTCACGGCATAAGGGAGAGCTTTCATAGTTTTGTGGTGATGCGTGACGAATGTGAAAGAAACGGTAATAAGTTTGTTTTCAATGAATCGTTGAGGAAGATGGAATGTGAAAAATGAAAGTGAAAATGAAAATTACTGAAATTTGGTGTTTGTGAAGTTCTTTATAGCATGAAATATGTTGTATATGTACGAATATCTTCTCTGAACAGTGACGACAAAAGTGTCCGACATAAATTTAGTACACGCTTGATGACTTGTACTTATATATAGTTTGTCTTCTGTTATAGACGGAACGGAAGAAAATTCATTTTTGACCTGAACGACACTTTTCCGCTTGAAATGAACATTTATCTCACCGATCAATTTTTTGTCCACTGCTGGTTGAATTATGCAAAAAAGGAAATTACGAAAGTTCAACATCTATCTGTGAAATTCATGCCACACATTCGCCATTATCGCCATTTGCTAGGATTGCTGAATTGAGTTATTTTAAATCAGAAAATGAAGTTTTTATTTATGCTCGGATGCATATTTCGAATTGAAAATGTTTATTTTGATGATGAAATCGATATGGGGGTAGTCAAACTCGTATTATCATCAACACAAGACGATCATGATTTTAAAAAATTATTTGACCATTTAAAACGCGAAATAGGCAATGAAACAAATTTTTATTCCTTAGCAATAATATTACGAAAAATGGGTGAATTTCATCATGCAGAAGAATGTTTAAAACAACAACTGTTACACAGTTCATCATCATCCAACGATTCCTATCGATGTTATCATGCTTTAGATAATATTTACCAAGACCGTGGTAATTTCGAACAAGCACTTATCTATCACAAATATTCACTTGAATTAAAATTAATATTATCAAGCAAAGACTATGTTGACATTGGAAATAGTTATAATAGTATTGGTGCTGACTACGAGAAAAAAGGTGATCTATCATTAGCACTTCGCAGCTATGAAAAAGCAAGAGTAATATGGCTAAAGTGTTATAAGGATAAACACGAACGAATGGCAATGATTTATAATAACTTAGGAATTATTCATCGCAAAATGAACATGTATTCTCAGGCTTTAGAAAATCACACAAAAGCATTAGACATTCGCCAAGCAGTTTTACCAGATAATCATCCAGATATAGCATCGTCGTATGTAAATTTAGCGATGGTCTACATGAAAATGAATGATTTAGATCAAGCTTTAGATCATTTTCAAATTGCATTGGATATACAGCAAAAATCTTTATCATCGAATCATAAATCGCTGGCGTTAACTTTGTACGATATCGGAAGTGTTTACGAAATAAAAACAAAAATTTCAATTGGCTCTCGGTTATTATTTGAAAGTCATTAAAATTTATCATTATGCTGTTCCGGCAACACATCCGGAGCTAATACAAACAGAGAACAGTATACAACGTTGTAGGTCAAAAATAAAGTAAACTTATTGCTGATGAATTACTGTTATAATCGCACAATCTGATAGGATTTTTAATTCTATAGAATCAAACTCTGATTGAGAAAGCTCAAATATTGAAGTTAGTTTATTATGTAAAACAGTGAAGAATTCGAACCAGACTAATTTACAACTTTTCCGACATCTATTATGACTTAAACTATCTATAACAATGAATAAATTCTCGGTTTTAAAAAGTCTTAAACTGTACGACAATGTCCCAACTTACAACACAAAAGATATCGCATACTCAGATCGATGATTTTCTTTTATGTAGTTTATTATCGTTTTTAATTGCTTCTTGCTTGCTATGACGGCTTCCAGAGGGGGTGTCGTCGATTACATAGTTATAATTTCTAGCAGATCTTGACATATATACGTCATTGAATTTGTCCGACAAGTAATTACCATCTAAAATGATTTATGTCAAAAAAAAGTAGAGTGTTTGTACTTTTTATTTATTAAAAAAAACTTGAAAAAGTATTCTAAATCTATGGCGATTATTTTCAGGCACCCGAAGTTTTTACGAAATCTTCTGAAGGTTCCGTATTTACTTTCAAAAGGGTTCGGTACACTCGAAAAAAAACGAATATGATTAACAAACCCTTTTTTTAGTTCAAAACATCGTTTTGGGTTCGGTGTGGTACCAATTTTTTTTCAGTACACTCACACTCTCAGTCGAAACTCGTGCTAGTAGCTACGAGACATTCATAGCCACATTTTCAATTTTTTTATTTAAGAAAAGAATTTAAATGAGAAGAAAATTTCATTTTGAAAATTCTTAAATATACAAATAAAATAGATCTTCACCAGTGTTGAAACATCAATCACGCACTAATACTCCAGTAAAGTTTTAGTCTTTACTTTTATGGAATGCGTGTTCATTTCTCTAGAGAATCAAATGTTGAATATTTTGAAAACAAAATTCAGTTCAAAATCCTCTACGAGTAATCAGTCTACCTGAAAGAGCAAATTTCGTCTTTGACTAGAAAAATACGTACATATCTTTACTATATCGGTTTGTGCTAGTTCATCGTTTTCATTATTGGAAAGTTTTTCTTCTCTCTATCATCACTAACTCTCTCTGTGCTGTTTACTATAAAAGCCTTATGTCTGCTTGGCCAAATGCCAGTATCGATTTTTTATCTAAGTCACACAAGTAGATGGTTACATTTTCGTAACGTTGTTTTAGAGATAAAACCACTCTTGTCGAAATCAATTTGTATCGCTATTTCATCTTATTCTCAATTCTTGAGAAAATTCGACTCGTACTTCGTATCGCATTTTGTATTCGGGTGAAACTTAAATACCATCTAGTATGAATTGGGATCAAATACTTGCAAACAATTATGAAAGTGGAGAATGCAACAGAACAAGGATACGAGATACATAGAACATGTGTTTCAATAATGCTCATTATTGAAATGATCGAAGAAAATATCTCGATCAATAAAATGATCTTTAATTGCTTCTAGATCCAAAAATTCAATGAGAAAACTCATAAATCTTACTACCATTACTTTCTTTAATAATACTTGACTCTTTTCATTCGATAATTGAGATTTTTTTCGCCCAGATTTCGATAGATTAAATTATTAGAACAAAATCTATCATCCATCGAATTTAGCAAAACAAAAAATAATGAAATAAAAATAAAACAAAATACTATTTGAAACATAGCTTATTTAGATTCACATTATTTATGGATTTAACAACACATACATAATGAATACGATTCTTATTGTATTGATTATGTCGACAAATTGAAAATTCCTTGCTAGAAAACACACGTATCTTTTAACCGAACAGGGGATATGATATTCACATAAAATTCCTCTTAAAATGACGAGAAGTTCCTACAGATAATCATGAAACGACTCTTTTTTTTTCATTGTAAAGAGTCATATATTTTTATCCATTTACTGGTTTCTTCGCATTATGATATCTCAGTGTCGGGAAGCAATTCATTCCAAACAGGATATATATCAACCGGTGTGTTCTTGAATAAATATATTCCACTTGTTAAGTGTTACTCTGACAAGTCGATGCTATTATCAACCTGCACAATAGTAAAACTAAAACATCTAACAAAGAAGTTCTATAGTTTTTTTGTTTCAAAACGATTGATCATTGCGAATAAAACTGGACGTTCCCTAAAGCGAAATGTAATATATACAAAATTTGTACTCCAATTAATTTAATTCTAAATGAAATTCCATCTTGATCATTTTATCCGAAGTCGAAAAATTACAGATGATTTGTTTGTTGATTGATTAGAAATATTCTCTTATTGTCAGCGATTCATCCCTATGTGACTATATTCCAGACGATTTTTTTACCAGAAGGCATAAACCATTCTAAACTTTAGTTATTTCCTTCTTGTTCTTACTATCGAAAATAAAACTTATGGCAACTTCCTTTGTTGCTCATTGACCTTTCTCTATCCATTCCATTCATTACGTTAATGACGTTACTGCCATCTTTAACAGTTCTATTGAATCTGAGAGACCATTGATCGGGCGGCTTTCGTTGATGAAACGTGTAAAGACAAACGGAGTCTCGTGCTCTGGATCTCCGTATGATAAATTGCTTATTACAACTTACCAAGAGGTAATGGTCTTCGCTGATCACATACATGTTGCGATGACGAAATCGTGCGGATTGTTGGAAACAATGGTC